GACTTTTGCCCCACTTTATGACTTTTTTTGCCATAGTTGTTAAGCAAATCACTGCAGTTAAGTGAATCACACAGATATTAAATGAATCTGGCTTCCCCCATTGATTTTGCTTGTCGGAAGCGCAACTGTCACAAATACATGCCAGTTGCCAAGCACCCAAATTTTGATCACATGACCACAGGGGCGCTGCAGCTATGTGCAAACTGGTCATAAGTCACTTTCTTCAATGCTGTTGTAACTTTGAATGGTCACTAAATTCATTTTTGTGAGGACAACCTGTATACTGTTTTCAATTGAAACCAGTTGCATTATAAATGGTCTGTAGTCCATTTGGAGCATAACGTATCTTGGATTACAAGTGTATCAAAATAGCTATTTACTAGCAAGAGCAGTCATGAACCGAGATCCAATCACGATCAAGTTCTACAGCGGCCTGAGATGCCAGTTCTGGACCCAGATCCATTCTGGCAATTAATAGTATCAGTTAGCATAACAGAATCTCCATTTAATCTGTAGTGCTGAGAATTATCTACTCATTTTTCCAGTGTGAAATATACTATTCACATTTCAGGAACATTTTAACTTCTGGTGTAGCATTAGTGACCTTTGCATGAACCTACTCAAAACAGTGGAACTTAACAAATCTTGTTCTGTCACTCACAACTTGAATAAGAAGAAGGAATTTTTTTTGAAAAGCATTCTGTGTGTATTATTTGACTCATTAGTAAAAAATAATCTGCATTATCCCCCAGTATCTTTTTTGATAACAGCCATTGTTAACAATTTCTTGAGTTCACTGTTTATAATTTCTTCTTCTCTTTCAAAAGTAATCGATAAATATATTATTAATTCGAGATAATGGTTCATACATCAAATGAACTAGTTTATATGTCACTATTACATTTTAGCACGGGAGTCCACCATATGGGTGCCCAGATGTTGTTAAAGTACATTGGTTCATGCCATGTTTGGTTGGGATTGTTAGGCATTGTGGCACAATGACTCTTTTGGAGTGGAGCAGCTGTAACAAGACTAATAAATAATTGTAATAATAGCTGGCAGGCTATTTTGGTGGCTTGGGAGGGAATGGCTTAATTATGTGCTGTGACTGTCTCATGGATGTTTGGGCTGGATTGTCTTAATTTCCTCCAAAGAATTGTTCATGATAAAGGAGATTCCCTCCTTTTGCTTCTTTTCTGTTTCTTGGCTTTCTTTTTGCAGCTGGATGTTGTCTTAGAGACCAACTTGGCGACCATCCGTGTCTTAGAAAGTGTGCAGAAAAAACTGACCCGCATGTCGCAGGAGGATCAAGAGAAGTTCCGGTTGGACGACTGCCTTGGTGGCACGTCAGAAGTGATCCAGCGCCGGGCCATCTACCGCATCTACGGTGACAAAGCCCCAGAGATCATTGAGAGCCTCAAGAAGAACCCTATCACTGCCCTTCCTGTTATCCTGAAGAGGTGACCACTGCACACTTCCTTTTCAATCTATTCAATTCCCCCCCCCCCCTAACCTGACTGCCACACCCAGAATTCCTAACCAGCCTGTTTTGTGGCGTGGCTGGCTGAGGATTCTGCAAGTTGTGATTCCAACACATCTAAAAGATTCTAGCCTTGGGTGGGGAGAAAACTTACTGAAATTGCTCCCGTCCTTTTGCTTTCCCTGGAGATTATATTTGAAATGCTTTGCCATAATATAACAGCGTGCATGACACTTCCTATGCAAAATTCTGTGGTTGCTGGACCTGGAAGCAGCATTTCTTTGGAGCCTTTTATTTATGCTTGGTTTCCAAGTTCAGCGACATCTGCTCTGTTCCAGGCTGAAGGCCAAGGAAGAAGAGTGGCGAGAAGCTCAGCAGGGCTTCAACAAGATCTGGCGAGAGCAGTATGAGAAGGCCTACCTGAAGTCTCTTGACCACCAGGCTGCAAACTTCAAGCAGAACGACACGAAAGCCTTGCGCTCCAAGAGCCTGCTGAATGAGATTGAGAGCGTCTACGATGAGGTAAGCCTCGGGGCTTCTTCTCTTAGGGGTGGAGGAGGGAGCCCTGATTCTCTCACTGATCTCCCCTATGTGTATTTCCAGCACCAGGAGCAACACTCGGAAGGGAGGGGAGCCACTAACGAGCCGCATCTCATCTTTGTCTATGAAGACAAGCAGATCCTGGACGACGCAGCTGCCTTAGTCAGCTACTATGTGAAACGGCAACCCACCATCCAGAAGGAGGACCAGGCTACTATTCGACAGATTGTCCATCACTTCATCCCGGACCTGTTTTTCTCCCAGATGCCCGAGCACCCAGTTCCCGAAGAGTTGCCCACCGAGGAAAAGGGGAGCCCCAAGGCTCACCCGGTGGAGACACGCGATCTACGGAAAAGGCACGCGCCTGGCTCACAGACGACCCCTATGGAGGATAAGGGGTCGACCCTGGTGGAAGCCCATGAGCTGAGAAAGAGGAATCCCCCCGGCCTGCCTGCGAGCCCTATGGAGGAGAAGCCACCTGCCTTGGAGGGCCACGAACTGCGCAAAAGAAACCCCCCAGCACCTCCTGCCAGCCCTGCAAAGGACAAAGGGAGTCTGGAAAGCATTGTGCCTTCCGCTCGTTCCCACCTTACCCTGGACAACGTCTACACCCTCTTCTTTGCCAACAACAACTGGTACTTCTTCCTTCGCCTTCATCAGACTCTTTGCTCGCGGCTCCTCAAGATTTACCGTCAGGCACAGAAGCAGCTGCTGGAGTATCGGACAGAAAAAGAGAGAGAGAAGCTACTGTGCGAAGGCCGGAAGGAGCGGGCCAATGACCCCGCCATGGAGCTGAGGCTGAAGCAACCGAGTAAGTCGGCCTCGCCGGGAGCATCTCGAAAGAGTTTGGGTGGAGGGAAGAGGGGAGAACCCGTGAACATTGGTTGCTCTCAGGCACAAGCAGGGAGAGCCCTTCGCAAATAGGTAAAGGAAGCAGCTTCATTGTTTTCTGTCTAAGTTACAGAAATCTCCCGAGGCTGCTTGCCTTCCCCTGGAACAACCAGATATGGCTTCATAGATCTTGGAGGAGGTCAAGGTGATGCCTCTGGCAGCTGCAGAAGGGCTCTAGGCCAGTGATGGCGAACCTTTTAGAGACCGAGTGCCCAAAAACTGGCCCCGCCCCCGCTCCACCCCCTGCCCCGCCCCGCCTGCTCACAGGACCATCACCGCCTCCCGGGCCTACCGCAGATCGCCCAGGCAGCCCAGCAGCTCTATGGCGGCCACACCCTCTGCCCGCGCCCTGCAGCATCAACTGCATGATGGGGTGTGAGGGCAAAGTCTTGTCTATGCTGCCTGGCTGCCATGTCCTTGACTGTGCTGCTCCATATGGGCCACGCTCAGGGGTGACTCTCCTTCAGGGGGGCTGCTGGAGAGGAGGGGGTCACAGGGGGGAGGCAAGGCTGGGGCAACGGCACGTGTGCCCACAGAGAGGGCTCTGAGTGCCGCCTCTGGCACCCGTGCCATAGGTTCACCACCACTGCTCTAGGCCCTCACTCGATGGAATGGGCCAGCTTGCCACGGCCAGTTCGCTGCAGGAGAACGCGCTATGGCCAACTCAAACCGTGGGACAACTTGCTGCGGGACAATTTAACAATTCTATTTATTTAAAACAAACAAAAAAATATTTTAATTTTGGCCATTCACATTTCATTCTGTCCCTCCTTTGGCGTCCTTTCTTCAATGATTCTATTCCACTGTTTTTTTCGATATTCATGTAACTCTTGTCCTGCAGCAAGCTGACCGCGACGAGTTGGCCGTGGCGAATTGCCGTAGACCCCTCACTCGATCCCTCATTCCAGCCCAGCCGGCAGTTTCACAACAGTTACACAAACTTCCGAAGGATGTATGTGCGAATTAGATAGGGGTGGTTTTTTTAAAAAAATAAAAATAGAATGATAAGGGGTTGTAAGGCTGGCATTTTTTTCAGAACCCTATTGGATGCAAATTGCATCTGAGAAACTGAAATGACTCTTCATTTTCTAGGGGAAATTATAGTTTTTATCAGTGGAGGAGCATGGATTTTTTCCTCCTATTTGCTTTATAGACAGTTTCATACAAAACAAATTAAACCAAAAACTGAAGCTATTACCTAGTCTGGGTAATGAAACATCTGCAAGAACACAACCAAGCTCAGAGAGAACCAAGGGGGCCCCACACTACAATCCTGAGCTACAGCTATTCTTTTCTATCGAAATTAAGCCAGTGATGGCAAACATTTTGAGCTCAACGGGTCAAAAATTCAGAAAATGCCTAAGCGGACTCTGCCGGCGTTTCACACACATGAACAAAAGAAACTTCAGCCCTGGCAACCCTGGCAATTGCCTCTGTGGCCGAGCACTCCTCAGGATCCCCACGCGCTGCTTATTTTTAGGTGGTGAAAGGCCCCCGCAGTCTACCGAGGCTGTTCTGGGTCGCATGACGTCTTTGTTCTTGGAGCAGCTTCAGAAAAGGCTGCCCCACGGCTGCAGCCTCTGAAAACTCTGCAAAAGAATGCCCCATTTTGATGTGGCTTTCTGAGGCTCCAGAGACACCCCCCCCCCAGAGAGAGAGAGAGAGAATGAGAGAGAGAGAGAACAGCCCTCTAGTGACTTCCAGAGGATCTGGAGGCTGTGTGAGAACATATCCCATTCTTGAATGGCCTCCACAGCCTCTGAGAAATCATGCAGAAAAATGGAGCATGCTTTTGAGAATAGTTACTGGGTGTTGGTGAATGCTAGTTGGTCACCCAAAACGTTGTGGCATACCACCTTTGACACACATGTCGTTGGTTCACCATCACTGGACTCCACTAATCCTCTCCAATGGGCAGAGATTCCTCTGAAAGTTTAGCTCTCCTGCAAATTATTTCTTCAAACCTTCTACTCCGTTCTCCTGGTGTGATTAGTGAATTGTGGTGGGTTGAATTGCAGATATTCTTTTTTTGCCTTGTGGTTAGGGTGCATCTGAGAAACCTCGGTGGCTTTTGAGGCATTTCCAGATTAGAAATCTTTTGAGGCCTAAAGGCAGCAGCTATTCTCATCTCGTCTTTCCCCAATTTATGGACAGCAACTTAATTCCAAACTGCAGATTTTTGAATGCTTTATAAAAGAATAAGTAGAAACTAGACTTTATTGGTAAATGGAATTTAGTTCTTTATGTGCCTGGTTCAGATAAAAAGATAGGTAGCCTTTTCAGTAACAGAAGCTTTCCTTTCCCTGAAAATTTGCAGGGTTTTCCCCTGGAAAGTTTCCCGTTTCACCTGGTCTTTTGCGTTTGCTTGCATTATATCTGATTTTGCCTTAATAGTTTTGATGGATTGGTTGCCTATATTACATTTATTTTAGAGACATTTTTATTTTCTAAACCTCTGTTCAGCGGACTTCAGATGCAGTGGGCAAAATTACCATCTGGATAATCGCCCCTTAGGATTTCTGTTGTCTCCAAAAGTAGTCTGGCACTTAAGAAAGATTTTAAAGAATTTTAAATGAACGTTCACATCGATCTATGTCATTTGCGTATTTGATGGTTTAATGGACATTGGAAAGAATAGACATCCTTTCTGATCTCAGTTGGGGTTTCACTATATTTTATGCTTCCTGTACATCTTTTTTAAATGTTTGCGATCTTGAGGTTCCCTTCTTGGAAAAAAAAAGCTTCCGTGTTATTTGAAATCAGAGGAAAAGATTAAGAAGCTGAATCATAGTTGGAATGGAAGGGTTTGTTTTTGTAAGATAGGAGGAGGCACTCTGGAGCCCTCCAATGTGCTGGATATCGGCACTGACATAGGATATTGCAGTTGAAATCCAGAATATCTGGAAAACACCAGAACGTCCATTCCAGCTCCAGGTATCCCTGCCGTTCTTCAATACACCTCCAATACATCTTTTGGCCACTAGAGGTTATTGTGTTGTATAATGGTTCTCTAAGTTGTCCAACAGTAGAGAAGAGCAGCTTGGCAAGGGCCTTAGACTAGAGCAGGGGTAGTCAACCTTGGCTCTTTTATGACTCGTGGACTTCAACTCCCAGAATTCCTGAGCCAGCTAAGCTGGCTCAGGAATTCTGGGAATTGAAGTCCACGAGTCATAAAAGAGCCAAGGTTGACTACCCCTGGACTACAGCAAGTCCTATCATTCACTTATTGAATGTGGGCATATCGAATCCTTATGGTAGGCTATCATTTAAATACTTGGTGTCCCTTACATAAGATCGCTCAAATCACTGGCGCACAGATAGGCATGGAAACTGGTTTGGCATCTGCCTGAGCGCCCCACACTTTCCTGCAGAGACGTTCGAGCAGTTATCTTTTTTCCACGGGGTGTCTGATTCCTGTTCTTCCCCCAGGTGAAGTGGAGCTGGAGGAATATTACCCAGCTTTCCTAGACTTGGTGAGGAATTTGCTGGATGGCAACATTGACCCCACTCAATATGAGGACACCTTGAGAGAGATGTTCACCATCCATGCCTACATTGGTTTTACCATGGACAAGCTTGTACAAAACATTGTCCGACAGGTAACTGCATCCTTGTCCAGGGTGTGGGGGAGATATATAAGAGACTGTTTTGGTATCTGCTTTGGGCCTGTTATAATTTGGCCCCTACTGAACCTCTTATGCAGAAATAACATCCCAGGCAGCCCCTTTGTTTGTGGTGAGCTCTGTTATTAGTTTGTAAGGCTGGGCCTGCTCTGAGGTATTCAGGATTTCATGGTACAATTTCAGAACTTTGTCCATGAGGGAAAAAACTTAAAATTGTTACCTATGTGCAGTTGAGGCCATTCAGAAACGCTGCTCCATTTGGCATTACCAATAGTCCTTGACTTATAACAGCAGTTGGGACCAGGATTGCCATTACTACGCAATGCAGTGATAAAGTCACATGGCCACATTGCTTAGTGATGGCAATCTAGGCAGTCCCAGTTGTCATTGTACAGTGAGGGGGAAAAATTATTTGATCCCCTGCTGATTTTGTACGTTTGCCCACTGACAAAGAAATGATCAGTCTATAATTGTAATGGTAGGTTTATTTTAACAGTGAGAGACAGAATAATAACAAAAAAAATCCAGAAAAACACATTTCAAAAAAAGTTATAAATGGATTTGCATTTTAACGAGTGAAATAAGTATTTGACCCCTTCGCAAAATATGATTTAGTACTTGGTGGCAAAACCTTTGTTGGCAATCACAGAGGTCAGACATTTCTTGTAGTTGGCCACCAGGTTTGCACACATCTCAGGAGGGATTTTGTCCCACTCCTCTTTGCAGATCCTCTCCAAGTCATTAAAGTTTTGAGGCTGATGTTTGGCAGCTCAAACCTTCAGCTCTCTCCACAGATTTTCTATGGGATTAAGGTCTGAGACTGGCTAGGCCACTCCAGGACCTTAATGTGCTTCTTCTTGAGCCACTCCTTTGTTGCCTTGGCCGTATGTTTTGGGTCATTGTCATGCTGGAATACCCATCCACGACCCATGTTCAATGCCCTGGTTGAGGGAAGGAGGTTCTCACCCAAGATTTGACGGTCCATGGCCCGGTCCATCGTCCCTTTGATGCAGTGAAGTTGCCTGGTCCCCTTAGCAGAAAAACACCTCCAAAGCATAATGTTTCCATCTCCATGTTTGACGGTGGGGATGGTGTTCTTGGGGTCACAGGCAGCATTCCTCCTCCTCCTAACATGGCGAATTGAGCTGATGCCAAAGAGCTCGGTTTTGGTCTCATCTGACCACAACACTTTCACCCAGTTCTCCTCTGAATCATTCAGATGGTCATTGGCAAACTTCAGACGGGCCTGTACACGTGCTTTCTTGAGCAGGGGGACCTTGTGGGTGTTGCAGGATTTCAGTCCTTCACGGTGTAGTGTGTTACTAATTGTTTTCTTGGTGACTATGGTCCCAGCTTCCTTGAGATCATTGACAAGATCTTCCCAAGATTCCTCACCATTCTCATGATCATTGAAACTCCACAAGGCAAGATCTTGCATGGAGCCCCAGACCGAGGGAGATTGACAGTTATTTTGTGTTTCTGCCATTTGTGAATAATTGCACCAACTGTTGTCACCTTCTCACCAAGATACTTGGCATTCCAGCCCTGTGTAGGTCTACAATCTTGTCCCTGACATCCTTGGATAGCTCTTTGGTCTTGGCCATGGTGGAGTGTTTGGAATCTGATTGATTGATTGCTTCTGTGGACAGGTGTCTTTTATACAGGTAACAAGCTGAGATTAAGACCACTCCCTTTAAGAGAGTGCTCCTAATCTCAGCTCATTACTTATATAAAAGATACCTGGGAGCCAGAAATCTTGCTGGTTGATAGAGGATCAAATACTTATTTCACTCATTAAAATGAAAATCAATTTATAACATTTTGAAATGTGTTTTTCTGGATTTTTTTTTTTTTTGTTGTTATTCTGTCTCTCACTGTTAAAATAAACCTACCATTAAAATGATAGACTGATCATTTCTTTGCCAGTGGGCAAACGTTCAAAATCAGCAGGGGATCAAATAATTTTTTCCCTCACTGTAAACCCAAGATCTGTGTGTGGGTCATTACGTGACAAACGTAGAGAGCCCCAGATATGGAGTGTGGGGTATAGTGGTGGGTTGATGCGGGAGGCCCTGTGCAGGCTGCACAAGATCAGGCAGGGGGTGTTGTTGCAATGTGGTATGCATAGTGTAAACTCAGGAAGACTGGGGAAGGATGGTGCAAGGATGCATGTCAGTGTAGGAAGGCCAGGGAGGGATGGCACATGCGTGTGCGTGAGCACAGGAATGACCTGGGGAGGCTGGAGCTGGTGAAGGCATGTGGCGAAGGGGGAGGGAACGAGTTTAGAGTGAATTCAAAGGAAGGAAGGAGGATGCAGTGCATGCGATGAGTGGAGTGAGGGAGGCGCAATGTATGTGAGTGAAGAAAGGACAGTGAGGGTAGACTTATCTGAGTGATTTGCATCCTTACTACTATATTCTCCATTGATTTTGCTTGTGGGAAGCCAACAGGGAAGGTGGAAAATGGTGATCATGTGACCAGATTTTATTTACATGATTATGGGGGCACTCCAACAGGCCGGAACTTTGAGATCAGTCAGTTTCTTTATTCAGCACCATCGTAACTTCAGTCACTAAATGATGGCTATAACTAATGGTTATAACTCAAGGTCTACCTCTATGTTGAACTGAGTTTAGCAGTAGGTTAGGTTAATGTGTTTCTGGTTAAGCTGTCCTGAATGAGGTTGCAGGTGCTGGACCATTTTGTGGCCTTTGTGCCCTACTTGATGTTGGTATTTTCTGCTTTTCTCTCTCTCCTCCACATCTGCTTGTTCTGGGACAACAGCTGCATCACTTGGTGAGTGATGATGTCTGTCTGAAAGTTGTGGAGCTGTATCTGAGCGAGCGAAAGCACGGCGCGGCTGGTGGCAATCTGTCTTCGCAATGTGTACGAGCTGCAAAGGAGACCAGCTACCAGTGGAAGGCGGAACGTTGCATGGCCGATGAGAACTGCTTCAAGGTACAGCAGCCCCTTTCCCACAAAACAAGCTTCCACACTTTGCCTTCCCACAGCTGAGGACGGATAGATAGGTTGGACTTCAGTTTCCAATGGATATGATCAAAACTGAAAGCCAGTAAATCTGAAAGTTACCAAGTTGGGGAAGGTTGATTCCAACATTGACAATATCTTCTCTCCTCTGTTGAACTTTTAAAGGTAGCCTATTTTTATTACCCACTTAATGAGAATGGGAATTAGCATTTGGGGGTGGGAATGTATGGGAATTAGCGTTTGGGGAGATGCCTCACCTTTGTGCCTACGGGTGAGGACAGCTTCTTTTGGGCCTCTGTTTTGCATGCTGCCTCTTTTTCACAGGTGATGTTCCTTCAAAGGAAGGACCAAGTGATCATGACCATTGAACTTTTGGACACAGAAGAGACTCAAACTGAAGACCCCACGGAAGTCCAGGTAATTCTAACCTTGTTCCCCTCCTTCCAAGTTGAACGTGACCTCATGTTCCTTGGAGAATGCATGGAACAAAACGTTCCCAGGAGGGCAGAAAGGGATAATTTACTTCAGACTTCCTGTATCCGAGAAGAAAGCAACTGGCTGTCTTGTCTCCTCCAGCATTTGACTAATTATGTGGAGCAGTATGTGGGAGTGGAAGGGACCCCGAGCAGTCAGAATGAAGGCTTCCTCTTAAAGCCGGTCTTTCTGCAGAGGTGAGTGGCTCTTTTCCCATTGTTTTCCATCCTCTGTCATTCTGCTGTTAGTTAGATGTGCTAACCAGAAATATGAAAAATGACCCTTGGTGGAATGATGAAGTGAAAAATACTACAAGTGAGGAAAACAATATCTAAGTGAGTGATTGCTGCAGAAACGTAGGAGTGGACTTCAGATCCCCGAATTTCCCAGCCAGCCAGTCAAGTTTGGGAAACTGGTTTAGGGAAAGCATTATAAAGTGAATCTGCTTGAAATTGCTGATTAATAGGACTTAGACGAAGTTTTGATCACATTGACTGTGATTACAGACACCTCTAAAGAATTCATACACTTTGTAGTGGGTAATTTGTACTCTGATGACAGGAGTGAATGTATGTTTCAGAAATTGAAAACAGCTTTGTATATAAGGGCATGGTCCTGCCCACTTTGTTATAGGGAAGTGAAAGTTGAGAATGCAGTGGGAATGGGATCTTGAAAAGGTGTGCTTAGCATTGTTAGAGACCCCACACACCCACTTTACGGTCTGTTTCTGTTGCTCCCCCCTGGGAGGAGGTTTCGAAGTATTTCTAGCAGAACTACAATTCTGTAATAGCTTTGTTCCCTATGCCATCCATCTGGTAAACTCACAAGATTCGTTTTTCTCGCCATGCACATGTATACATAATCTGAACTAGACTGTGTTGTTTCTCTGTGTAATATATGTGGGCATATGCATACTTCTGTATTTATTTTTGTCATATTTATGTAATGTATATTGGAGGTGGTGACCATTTGAGAGCCGTATGCAACGAAATTTCATTTTATTGTATGCCGCTTAGTGTACATTCAAAGTGACAATAAAGTTATTATTCTATTCTATTCTATTCTATTCTATTCTATTCTATTCTATTCTATTCTATTCTATTCTATTCTATTCTATTCTTATTATTCCATTCCATTCCAAAGACCGAAGAGGCACAGTTTATTATTTTAGTGTAAACTAGTTTAGCTATATTTTTCTGATCTCAGACCTTTAATTTCCTTGGTGTCTTTTCTCATTTTTTGCATAACATTGCTTACTCTAGAAATGAAGAGAAGGATAGGTCTGTGTGGACGTAGTTTCAGATCTAACAGTGTTTTCTGCCTTGCTCCTTGAAAATATGGCTTGCATTGTGGCTGAAGGTGATCAGAATTCCCCTGTACTTATAATTGTAATGGAGCCTGCCCATTATAGTCATAAGTTGTGAAAGTCGTAAACTGTGTCATCAAGTGACTGATACAGTTTTTTCTAGTAATCCCTAAGCAAACCCATTGTTTGCTATAGGGCATTTTTGCCAAAATTTGGAAGTAAGCCCTGGTTTTTGGCAAAAACATCATGAATCACAATCACGTAAATGCAGGATGCTGCAAACAGCCACAAATCCCAAGCACCCAAAATGCGGTTGTGTGACCTGGGAGAGGCAACTTTGGAACTGAGGCATAGGTACCTTTTGGGAGGTCTGTTGTAACTTCAAATGATCCTAAGCCAGGAGTCTTCAAAGTTGGCCCTTTTATGACTTGTGGACTTCAACTCCCAGAATTCCTCAGCCAGGCACGCTGGCTGAGGAATTCTGGGACTTGAAGTCCACAAGTCATAAAAGGGCCAAGTTTGAAGACCCCTGTCCTAAGCCATCAGTCGTAAATCAAGGACTATCTGTTTCAAAGAGCTTTGAAGAAGAGTGATTGGGGCACCCCCTTTTCCCCTGCTGCCTCCTTCCCCCAAAGTAACCCAGGTTGAGGTCTGTCCTCTTTTCCCCTCTCAGGAACCTTGACAAATTCCGGCGATGGCAGTGCCAGCAGATCCAGGCCATGCGTGACAAAGCGAAAAGCTCCTGGAAGCAGCTGATCGGTGTGGAGAGTGCCTGTAATGTGGACTGCAAGTTCAAGTTGAACACACACAAGATGCTCTTCATCATGAACGCTGAAGACTACATGTACCGTCGGGGAGCGCTGTCTCGAGCCAAACAGGTGTGCCTTCTGGAACGGGCCATTTGGGGAGCGGCCTGCTAGAGAGACTTAAGTTCCCAGATCACTTGTGATCCCACCCCTTTTCCCCCCCGTCTCTCTTGCAGGCGGCCCCTCGAGTCTTGCTGCGGCATCACCAGCGCTTTGAAGAGTGGCACCGGCGCTGGCTTGCAAGGCACGTCAACCGAGAAGCAGCCGAGATGGTCCAGGACTGGCTGATGGGCGATGAGGATGAGGACCTGCTGCCCTGCAAGACCACTTGTGAGACTGTCAGTATACACGGGGTGCCTGTCAACCGCTACCACGTGCAGTACAGCCGCCAGCCTTCCTCGCCCTGACTTCCAGTCCGTCCGCCCACCCGTCCGCCCGCCCACCCCCAAATTCCAGTGGCCCTCATGGACTTCTGGGAAGACAATGTATGTATCACTGGTATTTATCCAACCAGCTTTTATCATTTGGGGTCCCACTCGGGGCTGTGATGATTTTCTTCCCCATCCCACCCTACCCCATGCAGCATGGGTGTGCTTGTCCAAGAAAGAATGGACCCCTAGCAGAATGGAGGCAGCTTCTGTTCCTCTCATTTAAAGTGGGGGCTTTCAGCGTAGGCCAGGAGAAGAGATTGAACTCTAGGAGGGAAGAGGTCAGCGGGCTAGACGAGACAGGCCGTTGCTCTTTGAGAAGTTCCAAAATTGTTACCAATTGGGGATGAGGTCTTCAAGAACCTACAACAGTTGTATCGTTGAGCAGCAAACAACATACCAAATGTGGAAACTTTGGCTTTTCTCTCTCACTTTTCCCCTATGTTCTAATTCTATGGGTGGCACGGCTGAGTCGCCAGTATACCTTGACACCTTCTTACTTAGAGAATTATTCAAGTGGATGCTGCACCCTGGACAACTAGGGCTTTTACCCCTTTAAAAATAGGAGCACCCAAGATTTCTTCAAGAACCACCAGTCCATGTTTTCCTGCAAAGAATAAGAGGTTGGGATTTGTATTCTCTCTCCACCCATCTTCAAAACGATTTTTTTAAAATCTAATCTAAAACTTGGCCTGGATAAGATTCAAGGTGTCTTCCCTCCCACACGGGCTCTGGTGTCTTCACTTAAGTATGCCATCCTATGCCATTCTCATCCGTGTGCCTCTTACGGCAGCAAGATTTGCAGGTCCCATCTCTGGATACGAGGTGCATGTCCAGAGATACTGGACTGTTCAGTGGAAAGATCCCCTGATGCAGGGTTAGGGGGTTTTGTGCTGAAGCTCTGGGTCTCCCATTAGGGGTTACTGCCCTCCCTGTTTCCAGAAAGTCCTTGGTGCCCAGGGGTTTCTTTGACTTGCGAAATAGGCAGTTGTAATCCCCCCCTTCTTCTCTAATTCCCTTGTTGCCAAGGGAGGGGATGCCATTTTGCCTTGAGCAGCATTCGGAAGTCCCAGCTCTACCAGCTTTGTCTCCAGCAGCTTCTTCTCCCAGATCTTCAATTGTGTCTTCTCTTCTACCTGAGCAGAGAGGACTGCCTGTGCCAAATTCTGTTACGAAACTACTACTAAATGGTAGCTTGTGGCTTAATGTGTGTTTGATTGGGGGGGCATCGTGAAGTTTGAGAATTCCATCCCCTTCTAGACCACCCTCCTTCCTCCCCTCTTTTTCCTCAAACTTTTTCAAGGCCATCTTTACACATCCTTTTATAAATCAATTAATTTATAATCTGAGTGGACAAAGCAAGACTCTCTCCTTTGTATCCTTCTCATCGCGCAATGTGGTGTTAGCAAGGGCTACGTGAAACCCACAGAGACCTGTCAATAGTCGGAAGAGAAGACAAGAAAATAATTCTTCGGTTTTTCTGAAGGATCTCTTGCTTTTTTTTTTAAATTGGTTTTGGCTTGTATTTGCTTTGCAATTCTTTAAATGTAGTTTTTAAAAAAATATTTATTTGCACATCAAGTAAAATAAAATATTGATTTTAAAATGCAAAGATTCCCTTGTTTCTCGATTCTTGGGTGCCTTCAGAATATTTGACAAAGCCCTTGGGAGCAGCTCTTCAGAGCATTTGAAAAGGTAGAAACAAAATGTTTCTGGCTGGGATAAAACCTGTTTGAATGTTCAGGGAGAGACAGTTTATTTGTGAAACGGAGGATTCTCCCTTACAGACGAGACATAACAAATCTGGGACTTAGATGTAACCTTCTCAATGAGATTACAGGTAGTCCTCTACTTATGACCATAATTGAGCCTGCAGTTATGGTTGTAAGTCATAACAGTGTGATTTTATGGCCTTTTTTGCAGCTGTTCTAAAGCGAGTGCCATGGTTGTTAAGCAAACCCATTGTTCACTGTGCAATGTTTTTTGTCGGAAAGCAGAAGTAAATACCGCTTTCCCAGCAAAAATGTCATAAATCACAGTCATGTGACTGTGGAAGATTGCAAGTGGCCATAAATGCAGGCCAGTTGCTGAGTGCTCAAAATGTGGTCACATGACTGGGGTGCAGATTTCTCTTTCATCAGGATTTGATTTATTTCACCATTACTTTTAATTTGTATTTCTTATTTTTTATATTCAGTTTTTGCTTTTATTTTATATTAGCTGTCTTGCTAGAATAAAGAGATATAAATCAAGTAACCAAGTGTTCTTTTAGAGGTGAAATAGTGCACTTTCTAAAAGAAATCTGAGCAACTTAAATGAATTAGGCTTGAGTTTTAAATAAAATTAATGGGTGGCCATATAAAAAACTAGGGTGTTTATTGTCTGTTTTTCTGGCCAAGTGGAGAGATTTCTAAGAAAGTATTAAATTGTAATCATGCCCTATTTTTTGTTTGCTGAGATTTCATGTATCCTGAGCAACTCACAGAGGCAAAGTTGTTTCTAAATTTTGGCATTTTGCTTTACAATACCATAGCATCCATTTGTTCAACAACAATAATAATAATAGAGTTGGAGGGGACCTTGGAGATCATCTAGTCCAACCCCCTGCTCAGGCAGGAAACCCTATACCATTCCAGACAAATGGTTGTCCAGTTTCTTCTTAAAAACTTCCAGTGTTGGAGCATTCACAGCTTCTGGAAGCAGGTTGTTCCACTGGTTAATTGTTCTAACTGTCAGGAAGTTTCTCCTTAGTTCTAGGTTGCTTCTCTCCTTGATTAGTTTCCATCCGTTGCTTCTTTTCCTGCCTTCAGGCGCTTTAGAAAATAGCTTGACTCCTTCTTCTTTGTGGAAGCCCCTGAGATATTGGAACACTGCTATCATGTCACCCCTCGTCCTTCTCTTCATTATGTGCATAAATAAAACAGATTTGCAATTATGATTCTGGGATTGACAAAAAAACCCCAGTACCAATGGGACTCAGAAATTGGGCTTTCTCTATCATAATGACTGCCTTCTGGAACAGTTTCCACACTTTCTTCAAACGTTCCTTAAAATCTGGCATTTCCCAAGGCCTTGGGCTATGGGGTGGGTGATAGGCCTCTTATGGGAATAAGGGTGTTTCATTGTTCTGTCCAAATGTCATTGTTCTGTCTTCTTTAGTATATTCTTTCCATTCTGTTTCTAGGATTTTGCCATCTAGAGCAGGGGTCCTCAACCTTGGCAACTTTAAGACTTGTGGACTTCAACTCCTAGAATTCCTCAGCCAGCAAAGCAGACTGAGGAATTCTAGGAGTTGAAGTCCACAAGTCTTAAAGTTGCCAAGTTGAGAGCCCCTGATCTAGAGTCACCACAGAGTCTGGTAGCCTTATAAATTAAACCAGTAAAACTAAACACATTTCTTCATTGCAGCCAGGTTCAAATTACATTTTGGACACATTTCACTATATGAAGGGCCAGCCTCCTTGAGAGGCGGATAATGCTGGAAAAGTCATAAAGGAAAGAGAAAAAGAGGATGACCAGCGGCAAGTTGGATGGGCCCAGTTACACCAGCAGCATTATGCTATTGGAAGGCTTGCAAGGCCCACTTCAGGACAGCAGTATCAGCAGTCATGCAACAACTAAAGATATTTCAAATTATTTGGTTTTGGGGAAAGGATACGAGAAGGATTTATCTCGCCTTCATTCCACGATTCATTCCACTATTTATAAATGGGGAAGAAAAGTGTGTGAATTTGTGGTAGGACGTTTACAAAAGAGGAAATGGGTAGGGATAGTTTCATATGTACAAAATCTGGTAGAAAAGTGGTGGTTAATGTGTTGTAAGGAATAATGATTGATTGACTGAAGCAAAAAGAGTGATGTATACAAGTGTATTGCTCCCCATTTCAATGCAAGTGGAAGTTGGGTATATCAAATTCCAAAAAAACTAAACAAAGAAAAAGTGAGCAGGCTAAAGAGAAGATTGAGAAAGTTGTGGCTGGATACTGTTGATGAGTTCCTCAGAAAGGCAGAGTTAAGAAATTTAAGGAGCAAAAGACAATGAATGAAGCAGTGCTATCGATGTGATGAAAAAAGGATGGTTAGCAAGGATAAAAAGGAAATCCGTTGCTTCTTGTCCTGCCCTAAGGCGCTTTGGAAAATAGTTTGACTCCCTCTTCTTTGTGGCAGCCCCTGAGATATTGGTGCACTGCTATCATGTCCCCCCTCGTCCTTCTCTTCATTAAACTAGACATACCCAATTCCAGCAGCCTTTCCTTATATGTTTTAGCCTCCAGTCCCCTAATCATCTTTGTTGCTCTTCTCTGTACTCTTTCTAGAGTCTCAACATCTTTTTTACATCGTGGTGACCAAAACTGGATGCAGTATTCCAAGTGTGGCCTTACC